AAAAGTATTTTATTTTTGTCTCCTGATTATCAGTAACCCGAATTTCTTTTTAGCTTTGACCAACGACTCAGATTTTTGGTTAAACAGTATGAGTAGTCTAATTTCAAGCAATTCGACTTGTTAAACATATATATATTCCTTTCAACAAACGAAGCGTGAAAAGAATTTAAATATTATTAGTTTTAACATCAATAACAGGTCACTTACCATCATTTATAGGCTATCAAGGCAGAAAAGCTAATTACAACAATATAATCTGTTTAATTCTGGCTACTTCTCTATATCACACATTAATTAGTGACTGAACAAGAACCTCTAATCTCTCCTTCATCCCCAGACTTAATTCCAAGATCAGCAAGTCTCACAAAAGACTGACTCCAACCCTGAAAAAAGATGTTCTGATCATCTGCAAAATCCATCACTCTTTTCCTTGTTCTACCATCACTAAACAAAACAGAATCAGATTGGAAAAGTCCCTTATGTGCTGACAAATCTTTGTAATACTGATTGTCAAAGAGTTGAGGGGTTTGGGGATCATTCTTGACAGTAATTGAGGGATTTGCTCCTGCTGGACACTGCTTTGTTAGCTCAGCTGCGTATTCTCTGTCTAAAGATGTGTCAATGAGACTGACATTGCCCTTTGAATCCACTTGAAAACGATCACTAAATGCATTGCAATGTGCTGATCCTATGGTGTGTGCTCCTACAATTTAATTTTGGCATGTATACAACAATGTATCAGTTTCCTCTGTGACACACACACACATACAATGGAATCACGTACTGTTCGAATTGAGCAACTTTGGTGTATGTTATATTTTCAGTCTAGTATTAGTACTATTGTTGTTAGTGAAAAGTCTTGTTTGTACCTTTGATCCTAGCAGAGTACAAGTCCGAGGGTAATTTTAAACCATATTAAAAAGTTGGGGGTAAATTGGAACCTCTTTTTTTTTGGTGAAGAGTTTAGACACGTGGAGTCCATCCATTTCACCCTAGAGCTTCATTAAATTTTAACGATAAGTATACGACGATATTTTCTAATGATAAGGAATGGTCTAAAAGTGCAATAAAGGACAAACTAGAGCAATTTCAAATAGTATAATGGAAAACTTGAACCTTTTTTCCAAGTTTAACTTATATACATACATTTCCAAAAAAATATATACAAATAACTTTTATAAATGAGATTTGCAACTCTAAAAATAAGACGACTTACCTGCTATATCAAGAAATTAAATGTGATACAATATTGTAAAGTTTTATTACTCCTGTCATTGTCTACAAGTTAAACTCATGTAAACAGGATACCCTCTTTAAGTATCAATTTTTTTTTCCTTTCATTTATAGGATAAACTAATTACAAGACTTAAATTTCCAATTTTTTTAAAAAATAAACCCCTAAAAGCAATTGATTCCCCTACATGTAGAATATAAGACTTAGTAAGAAGCTCTCCTTAAATTCAGACATCCATATACGAATCTATACTAAATCCACAAAGAACTCTAGCATATAACTGCCATAAGGAATTAATGTATCCAGGTACACGTTCCGTTGGGGGGAAAATAATTAAAATTAAACTTTATGTCCGCAAATGCATTATGAGGCTCTATATCTTAATATAATTTTTTTTTTAAAAACTAAGCTAAACAACATTTAAAAAATAAGATACTTATTATCCTTATATCCCTTACAATTTAACCAAATAATAACAGTAATTGTTTGGAACTACCTATGGAAGAAAAGATAAATATTTGGTCGGGTAAGGAATAAATGGCTTTAAATTCTAGTGACCCTACTTGAACCTAATTCACCCCTTGATAAATTACTATCAACTCATAAAGTTGTGGGATCCTAATATTGAAAACCTTGACCACATATTATTACTTCCTCCGTCTCATAATATGTGTCGTGATTCTCTTGTCCACGCTCCTTAAGAAAAAAATAGTTTTTGACTACTTTACCTTTATTAAATGTTTTCTCAATTTATGTGTCATCTCCATAAGTAATGTGTTTGTAGTCTTCTAAGATAATTAATTATTAAGGATAAAAAGGGAAAAATATAATTAATTTTGTCTTGACCTTCTAAAATAACAAATAATTTGAGATAACTATTTTTAGTAACCACGACATATATTATGAGACGGAGGGAGTAGTAGTCTTCTCAACTTCGAAATTTTTGGCATCTTGTTAATTTGGTGGTATTATATAGGAAGCCGCCTCTAATTGCTGAAATTAACGTATCTATATTGCAATTTTTCTTTATATTTTTTTGTACATAGTAAAAGGGAGGGGAAAGGAGAAGTTCGACACACTTGCATGTACATGCGGAGGTTATCGATACTACTAGACTATAAACCAACTTAATAGTATAAATAACATATCTCTCTCATGCTTAAAATTTAATCATATTAAATGATTCTATGCAAGAAGGGATTTAGAGAGAGAAGTATATATATATGTACCTGATAAAATAACAAGATCATCCAAAGACAATCCCTTTGCAGAAAATATATTAATCATTTGATCTATTGAGAAACTTGTGTCCACTATATTTGGTCTCACGTTTGAAGCCAAACTAATTTTCCCATCTCTTCTCCCAGTTGGAATTTGAACGTTTGGCCCTCCTGCCTGTTCAAAAACAATGTATTTACTATCAACGGCGGATCTAAGAATTGAAGTTTATGAATTTCTGCAGCTATCTCAAGTTAATAATATACTATAATAATAACTAATAAGTTTAAAGTTAAATATTTACGAATATTTAGTATAATTTTTAATACATACAAGAAAAAATGAACAAAAGCTACAAAGTTCACGTGCTCGTATCTTTCATGGTAGCTCCGCTTCAATTTGCAAACTATAATGTTATTATGAAAACAACAATTACTATTATTACTATGTAACATCAAGTAAGTCGACGTCGTTTATATGGATTTTTATAATTGTTCATGTTCTCTATTTATATCTATTTCGGTCCAATACGGTATAAAATTCTTGTCCAGCACTACAAATTGTAGTATTCAATATTGACTGGTGTATATGAAGCATGTAAAAATTGAAGAAGTCATAATAGGTACAATTCCTTTGTGCGGTATTTTTTCCCCCAATTCGTGAGTTAACAATTATAATCCTTCTTTTATTTCTTGGGTACGACGCTTAATTCCTCAACTTCCTTTTCCATTTTACCTCAATGTAGAAGATAAAAATTGCTTTATTCAGATATACAAAGCATCGTTTTACCATCTATATCTAGTCAACAATTTTGTTGGAGTCATTTATATGAATCCTCGCTACTTCACGTCAACAAATATGAAATAAATCGACAAGCAAAAGAAAAGAATATAGAAAAATGAGCATAGTGGAACTTACGAATTCAACAGCATCTCTAGCAGCCAATGCAATAATATCAGCACAAGAAACAGTTCTAGGGCAAAAGATTTCCAAAACTCTTTTTGCAGATTCTATTACTGAAAATCCTCCAAGTGACTTGTTTGCTGGATCACTTCTCTCTGTTCCATTCCCTTCTAAAAGTATAGATGCATCACAACCCTGATGACATAAAAACATGAATTAAATCTTCATCAATTTTAATTTGGTTAATTTTGTTAGGTGTGCGAACATATTATAACTTTATAGCGCTACCCTTAATTAATGAATGAGACACTTTTTCTGAAAATTGTGCAAGTTTAGATAGTTGGATTACACTTCTATGAGTCAATTGACTCTTTTTTCCATAACCGGCAGTAATTATTAGTACTTTTTTTATATTAAAACTCAATATTGCTGTATGCTAAACAATCTATCAAAAATTTCTTCTTTTCAGAATTACACTATATTATAACAGTTAAACTTTTTTATAACAGCATTCCTATATAATAATACTTCACAATAAAAGCGAAGTTTTTCCGAAATCAATTTTCATGTTATGTTATAATATATGTTCTATAAAACCGCACTTCGATGTAATATTCAAAAACATTCGGAACAAATGAACTATTATAGAGAGATTCGACTGTAATAAGAAACAGATTTTTGACATGAAGCGTGGCGGCGTAAAATGCACTTATTTTGGATAATTACAATTAGTTAGCTCTTCTAGGTAATTTGACAGTATAAAAATTCTATTACACTATCCGTCTATAGAAGTTTAACCCTTTTAGAAAGAAAAAAAAAAGCAAGAGGATAAATAGGAAAAATTTCAATTTTTGTAAAATGATTATAATGAGTAATAACAGATTAGTAAATTACCTCAACAAAGCAGTCATGGAAAAGGAGACGAAGAAGTTTTCCAGGGAGTGTTGGGTCCATAGAGGAAGCTGATCTCACTGTATTTTTCACCATGAATTCAGCTGTAGGGCAAGATAGTGCATAAAAATCGAAGGAAATGTTTGAAGATGAAGTTGGAAACAGTGTTAACAAACACAAGAAACCAAGAAAGAAAAGTTTGTAGTATTTGTATAAACATAGTGTTTGGTTAACATACATTTGTAGTTTCTCCATATATTTCTGGTGTTTTCAGACAGCTTTCTAATTTGTTCTCTGTAACAATGAAGGGATAAAAGAAAAGGAAGAAAAAAGACTGGATGTTGGACTGGTCTGAATAATGATGGTGAAGATGAAGAAGGAAGAATTATTATTTAAAGCTGCATTTATTTGGTTTGGTCATGGCAGGATATCAATGATTTACTCATTTTCTGACAAGGTAGAAAACAGATGAGTTCTAAATGCTAGTGAACATTGTTTTTCTTTTCTTTTTTTGTTTTCTTTATAACAATGTATGTGTTTACCCTAAAAATAGATAACAATTGAATTTATACTGCGGTTTTAAGGACACGTGAATCACTTAGCACAAATTGAGAGAAAACTTAAATTGACAATCGAATTAACTGCGAATATAAATGGAGCAAACCAAATAAAATGTATAACTTTAATCCTTGAGCTAGACTGCCCTCGAATTAAGTGAATATTTCGCCGGAAAATATGAACACAATAATAAGAATATTGAAAGCTTAAGAGAAAGTGAATATATAGCTTTTGTAACGTGAATCTCATGATTACAAAATGATTAGAACCACATTTATATAGTAGAGGAATTCTACTTATGGTACAATTCTAAATACAGAAGAAAATCTCATGATTGGTTAAATGTCCGGTCTTGACTTGATACGTGTCGAGATTTTCGTCACGATCCCTGCCCGGTCACGAATATCTCGGCTTTCTGTTATTCGACTTAGCAGGCTTCCCTCGACCTCGCTCGATCTCGACCCCGCCTCGGTCTCGATCTTGATCGGTCATTTATTCATGAGCTTAGCAATCCATCTCCGTGTCATAGTCCGATACAACGCGAGACCGAGCCTTGGTCTGCCACCCTGGTTTCAATTAGTCATACGAAATTAGGGAAGCCCGATTTTGACCGTATACAGATAGTTCCCTCATTTTTTAGAGTATAATGACAAGAAACGAATTGATTCTTCGAACTTCCCCTCGGTTTACCATGACATAAGCATCGTGACTTGATCGCTGCCAACTCCGCACCACTAATAAGTAGTGAAAGAGGGTCGCAATAGCTTTTGCCCGATTTTTGGGTCGGGATCGATTTCCTCAGAGAGCTAGGAATGGAATTGAGTGTCTATTTAGCTTAGGATTGCGTGATTGTTCCAAATTGCACTTCTATTCATTTTTGTGTTTTCTTTATAATTCTACGATTATCAAACTACAAATTATAATTGCAACTAGATTAAGCTAAGAGTAAAATGCTACAAGTTGTATCTAATGGTTTAAAAGGCAATAGGGTAGTGACTTCCGCCTAGGTGGTCAATTGATGGGTAATTACATCTAAGGTACGATTGACATGATTGGGGTGTATGCTATAACCGTTGCTCGATACTACCTACTCTACATCTCTCGGTAGAAAGAGTGATTTTGTCCAATTGACTTTCTCAAGACCAATTGGGTATGCATATATGCTCAAGCAACTAGTGTTCAAGTCAGGTATTACTCTCTCGAGGTTTAATACTTTAATTGGGACTATCAATTATCTTGAGTCCATCCCAATTCCTTGTTGGATCAATTCTGGAGACTTATGCTCTCTTTCTCAAGAAGAGCCCAAGTCAACTTAGTACAAACTAGTGTTTGAAACCACTGATTTAGTAATTAAACCATGAAATTGATCCAAATAACAAACACCAATAGTCAATCTAATCCTAAATTGCAACACCCATCAATTACCCACACTAGGGTTGAGCCACAACCCTAACTAATGGATCTAGCTACTCATACTTGAAGAGAAAAACAGAGAAGCAGATGAAGATGAACACATATTAATTAATTGTTAAACTAAATACAAAGATTCAATGATAAAAAGTAAGTAAAAATGCCCAAAATGGCTACAAAAGATGTTCCTACGAGCGCAGCTGCTGTTCTAAAATGTCTGATGCCTTAAAAATTGAAAAAAAGTTCTATTTATATTAAGCTGGAAAATTTGGACAAAAATGCCCCTACGGGGTTAGTGCGGACCGCCCAGAATGGACTGCGACCGCACTAGGACTCTTGGATTCAAAATCAACTCTCTGAACTTAAGCTCCGCGGACGGCATAGAAGAGACTGCGGCCGCGGTGATTTCTAGTGTGGTCCGCATAAACTTGACCGCGGACCGCACATGCTTCACAACTCCATTTTTCATCTTTTCTAAACCTTGGCTCTGCGGACTGCACAGAATGGTAGTGTGGCCGCATGGACTCCAGTGCGGACTGCACAGTGTGTAGTGTGGCCGCATCGCCTTTTAGCTTGAAATGCCAAGTCTCTGAACCTCCTAGTGCGGACCGCACAAAGTGTAGTGCGGCCGCACTGGGCCTCCTTTGCCTAAGTTTGTCTTGTCTTTGGTACTTGTGCAAGTTTCACTCCTTTTGAGCTGATCTTTGACATCTTAGTCACTTTGTGGATCAAACCTGCAATCAAGCACAACTTATGAGCCTTTTGGGACTATTTTGTATGAATCTATAATTAAAGCGTAAGCAAAAAGGAGTATAAAATGTGTCAAAATACCTAGTTATCAACTCCCCCAAACTTAAGCCTTTGCTTGTCCTCAAGCAAACAAAATAAGACCCACTCCTTAAGGGAAAATCCAAGAATTTTTCAGCTGTCCTAAAGCAACCTCAATTAGCATCAATTGGGACTAACAATTGCACTCAATACATATGAATCATTAACAACCTTTACTCTTTGAAAAACCATGGATCGAGTGCGACACAAGAGCATCAAAAGTTGACTCAACACATCAAAGAACTCTCTCAATTACTTTGGTCATTGTGGAACCCAAACTCACACATCCTCAACTCTCCCCAAGCAAATCTCACCTTTAGAATATTGGCACACAAAATGAGGTTAATGAAAATTCACTCATCTCTCTCAAGAAAAGGTCACAAATCCGGCTCTAAGTACCATATGTTTGCTCCTTATGTGAGTATCCGCTAATGCAAGCTTCATTCAACTCAAGATCATATAGGGATTTTGTGGAGAAAATGTGAAGGCTTTTGGTTCAGGGTAGGACATGTTTTGGTCTAAGTGAGTTCCATCTTCCCTTAAGCACTTCTTTTGATTCATTTGGCTCACATTCACTTGACTCTTTGAGTCATTTCACTTCTTTCTAAGGGGTTAGAGAGATACATTATCACTATTTCTTATGCATTTCAAACCTTTTCTCATTTTTTTTAACTTTTCACACCTTTCATTCTTTGCTTTTCTTGAATCCCTTTTTATTCCTTTTCACATTGAGCATTCTTTTTGTCTTTTGCTTTTCTTTCTTTTTCATTGCCTTCCCTTTTCTTCATTTTTGTGCCTTTTTACCACTTTGTTGCCATCCTGGTCTCTCCCCCCAAACTTATACTTTTTCCATGTGCTAAAGAAAAGATCAGGTGCCAAGAGAGAGTATCTTTTAGAACGGGTATCGTCTTGTATCATGGTTCTTGAAAGAAAAAGGTCCAAGGCTCAAAAGGGTTTACTAGGGTCATATCATTGGTAGGTTATGGAATTGTTCAAGCTATTATTTAGATAAAAGAGAGCCTATAATCATGCCTTAATTCAAAATTCACTTATGATTTCGCCTCAACAAACATTCAGGGCAAATTCTAGACCAATGACTCGGGACTTGGACTTGCAATTCAATTACTTACCACACAAGCTAAGGGATTGATAAAGACATAGAGTCAGGGGCCCACAATGACCTTATATACAATTTGAGCACACAATGGTCCCAAAAAATCACTTGATGATTATCGGTCAACACAAGAGTCTCAAGGTCACGACTTTCACCATCCTAAACACAACAATTTGTTTTTGACCATAAGATCAAAGGCAAATGTGCTAGGCCCAAGTGAAGCTTTGCTTGAGGCACCCTTAACTACTAACTACTAAAAACAAAAAAGAAAAACTGACTCAAATCCTTAAGAAGGTTGTCATGCCATCCACCATTGGGAAGAGCCACCCGGTTCACACAAAACTCTACCTTGGGAAAGAACCGTGGCATTAAGAAAACCAAAGGCTTATTGCAAACTTCGAAAACAAAAAGCTACGAATCACAAATAAGAAGCTAAAAACGAAATTTTTTTGCGAAAAATAGAATGAATATATACAAGAGGGGATTTAAATATACAATAGATAGGATGAATATGTACAATGAAACATAACTTTATATACAAATCCAAAGTAAAATAAAAGTATGATAAATGTAACAAAATATCAGAATTATATACAAACCAAAGATGAAAAATCAATAAAGCATAAAAATGTAACAAATATATATACAGTCATCCGAATGAATAACAGGTAGGGTCTACCCCCTCAAATGAAAACTGGCATTGTCCCCAATGCCAACTAGTCTAATAAAGCACCAAAAGGATAAGAGAAAAAAGGATATAAGAAACTCCCTATGGCCTGTCTGTCTGCATAGGGTCATGTGTGGTCCCTGGGTCCTCTCTGTGCTTGGGGACCTTAGACTGGTCCCATGTGGCCTGCTGCTCTGCTACTGGGACCTAGGCCTGGACCTGGACAGGCTCTATTGGTAGTGCACCCTGTGGCTGACTGGAAGAGGTCTCCTGTGGGTCAGCCAGCTGGATGACTGCATCATCAGCTCGAGGGATCATCCTCTTCCTCTTGGGAGGCCTCTGTGACTGCTCCGGCTCTAGATGAACTGCTGGTGCTGGGTCTTGAAGTAATAAATCTAAAGGCAGGTGATCCGCCTTCAGTCTGTCTACATCAGCTCGCAACACCTTCACTGCCTCTTTGGAGGCCTGTGTCTTCCTCAACTTCTTGTGCTCTCGAGCAAGCTCTTTGAGAGCCTTGCTATGTCAATCAACTACCTTTGAGAGCATTGCCTGAGTGTTGAGGATCTTCTTCTGGTTGTCAAGTATCTCCTTAAGCGCATCCTCTATCGACTGTGGAACCTGTGCTGGCTGAGGTGCTGACTGAGCCTCTACCACAGTGGTGAGTGTGGACAACTTGGATGAAGAAGTCTGCATCCAGTTATTTACGCTAAGAAGCGCATGGCTTAGTTGGTGAGCAGTAATAGGATAGGCCTGGGAAGATGGAATCTACGGGCCTACTGAGGTGGATGGACCGACAGGAGTGGCTGTAGATGTGGAAGGACCGGGAGGGATGTCTGTAGA